TCAAGGACGCCATTGACAACACCTTTGCTACCCGTGAGAGCAACGTGTTCGTCATTGGCCAGGACAAGCCCTGGATCTCCCTGCCCAAGGGCAAGGGTGTCAAGCTCACCATCGCTGAGGAGCGTGACCGCCGCAGGGCCAACGCCAGCGCCCACTAATCGCGGCAACCTTGGGATAAAAAATTGGCATGAGGACTGGAGTCTCGGATTTGAACGTATTTGTTTCCACAGCTTTGACTACCCTGGAGATAGCCAGCCCCCAGGGCGTATGAAAAGGACAAATTTGAACCTAAAAGAGACAGATTCTCACGAGCCAAGACTCTCATAAGTGACAATTGTACGAATTGTGTTGATCGTTTGTGTTGACGTGCTACCCGATGTTGTTCCACCTCGTAATCCGGCTACTCTCGGCTACGGACTGTATATTATTCATGCTGAGGAGGGTCGCGTGACGAGCGTGCTGGATGAGATTTTTGTCTGTTTCCAGCTTGGCCTGCAGCAAATAGCGTGAAACCCAGTTGAGGTGAGGGGGATCCCGTCACAATGACAGGTCACACTTCGTGCCTAGAGTGAAGAAAAAGACAACTGGGCACCAACTTCCACGACTACCGCTTACGTGAAAGAAACCACAAGACCACGAGACCACACAGTGTCTTACGGGTTGGCAGAGACATACATAAAATTGTGAGGTTGTGTATCGTATCTGCGCCGACTTCGGTAGGTTCCCATGTAAGTCTGAGGTGCTCAGCCTGGGTGGAGTTTCGCAGTTTGGGGGTCATGCCCAAGCTGCCAAGTGGGTGGAATAAAACGTGACACACCAAAGCTCTTTCCGCGTAAGGTAGGGACCTTGCTTTTTGCCTCAACACAATAATAAGAGAGTAATTAGAGAGTAATAAATTATTCTCTAATATTTAGCTTGATATTGTATTCAGTACTGGGTTATTGATTGAGAAATTCTGTTGGATTGAATACTGAAATATCTCGATGTGCCATGTTTTATTCCACCCACTTGGCTGCCTAGGAAATGATAATTCCGAAGTGTAAGTAGGAATTAGAATTGCGAGAATAGATCAATGAACCCCCACGCTCCTTTCTTCTCCAATTTTTTCCGTTTGACCTAGTCCTTCCAGAAACCAGTTTCTCCTTAAGGCCTCACGATCTTGCCTTTTTCGGGTAGGACTGGGGAGGCGGCTCCATCTTCGGCGGTTTCTCCGCTTACGCTTCTTACACATCCTCAGAGTCAATGTCGTGGAGTTGCGGCCTTATGCTGTGGGACGAACCCAATAAAGGGGCGGGGGTCCCTTGGCCCTTCTTGCCAATGTGGTTCTCCCATTCTGGCATTTGAGTGTAGTAGAGACAACATCACGAGTGTTCGTTCACGATAGTCCACTCTGCCCGTGAAAAGGTTTAAACTAAATAACAGATTGTGGAAACATTGGCACTGGCGATTTGAGGACCTGCAGGTGTCGACCTGTACCCCACTACGGAACTATCGACTGAGGGGAGGGGTTCGAGTTCTCTTTTCTTTCTTCTCTTGCCAGATTAGAAGCAGCCATGTTGTCGAGAAACGGCGCGCGGTCTCTCCTGAGGAGACGAGGGCTTGGTAGTCCCAGCACAGCACGAAAGACGTTCTCATCAGGGACTCCCCGCTATGCTGCTGCCGAGAAGCAAATCACGACGGGGACCGCAACCCAGAGCTCAAAGACAAGCGGTGGCACCCTCGGCATCGCTGCGGTAGCCGGGGTCCTTGGCTGGGGTGTCGCAACAATAACAAACTCTGGGGACGACTCCAAGATCAATTCGCTCCAGGTCAAACTGGACGCGAAACCAGAGCGATATGCCACTTTGCCCGAGATGGAGAGGGTCAGTAGCAAGCCTGCTTGGGCAACGAGGGATCGTGATGTTAACGTTGAACAAACTAGGCAATCAAAAAGATCACCGAGGAACTCGGTAACAAGGACATCATCTCAACGGACCCAGAGGACCTCCATGCTCACGGCTACTCGGCCTGGTCGACAGTGAATCCGGATAATCTTCCGGTTGCCGTAGCATATCCCCGTACAACTGAGCAAGTCTCAACCATTGCCCGCATCTGCTATGAGCACAAGGTTCCAATCATCCCCTACTCGGGCGGCTCCAGCCTCGAGGGAAACTTTTCTGCTCCTTATGGAGGCGTGAGTGTGGATTTTGCCCACATGGATCGAATCCTCCAGCTTAACAAGGAGGATATGGATATTGTTGTCCAGCCTAGCATTGGTTGGCAAGATCTCAACCAAAAGTTACTCGCAATGGAGAGCGGTCTATTCTTTCCTGTGGATCCTGGTAAGTCCAGACACATATGTCGAGGCGTTTTATTATGTTTGAGAATGGAATGATTCCAGAGGAAATTCGAGAACTGACAGTAATACTCCTTAGGCCCGACTGCGAAGATTGGTGGGATGATTGGCACCAATTGCTCCGGAACCAATGCCGTACGGTATGGAACCATGAAAGATTGGGTGGTCAACTTGACGGTGGTTCTGGCCGATGGGCGCATCATCAAGACTCGGCGGAGACCAAGGAAATCGTCCGCCGGTTACAACCTCAACAGTTTGTTTGTAGGATCCGAGGGCACTTTGGGCCTTGTGACGGAAGGTGGGTTACTTTTTCTCGTTCCTATGTACACGTACGATCACAGGAGGCTCATCATTTGACCACAGCGACTCTAAAATTGGCGATTATCCCAGAAGACCAGTCAATTGCAGTTGTCCCCTTCCCAAGCATCCGGGACGCTGCGGCAGCGGCCGCAGGCGTTATGCAAGCGGGAATTCCTGTTGGTGCACTGGAGATCATGGACGAGGTTCAGATGAAGGTTGTCAACCTGGGGGGTGCGACTGCGCCCCGGGTCTGGGAGGAGGCCCCGACTCTCTTCTTGAAGTTTTCGGGAACCAAGCTCGCGGTTCAAGAACACATCACGCTGGTACAGGCTATTGCCAAGGCAAATAAAGGAGGCAAGTTTGAGTTCGCCAAGGATGCGGAGGAGCAGAAGCTTCTGTGGTCGGCACGAAAAGAGTCTCTCTGGTCGATGATGGCTCTGAGGAAGGATGGCGAGGATGTCTGTAAGTGATTATCCATCCTTTGGGGAATCAACAAGAACATATTTTGACAACTGTACAGGGAGCACAGATGTGGCCGTCCCATTCAGCCGACTTGCTGATATCATCGAAGTGAGTAAAAAGGAGATGGATGACCTGGGATTGTTTGCCAGTATTCTCGGTCACGTTGGCGATGGAAACTTCCACGAAAGCATCATGTACAACGGCCGCGACAAGGCAGAGAGAGCCAAGGTCGAGGCGTGCGTCAAGAACATGGTCAAGCGAGCACTGAACATGGAAGGCACTTGCACCGGCGAGCATTCGATCGGCTGGGGGAAGAAGGAGAGTTTACTGTGGGAGGTCGGGCCCGAAACGTTGGATGTGATGAGGACTATCAAGAAGTCCTTGGACCCGCTCTGGATCATGAACCCGGGAAAGATTATGGATGTGCCGTGGATGGAGGCGGACGACGCCAATGAGAAGCCTTTGTCGAGGGCCGAAGACGTGGGAGTGACCCCGATTCTTTTATCGGGAAGTCATCAAAGCGCGAGATTGAGTGGATGATATGATGGTCTCAATCGCAGGAACACATGAGGGGAGGGATCGATAGAATGAAGTGTTGCTAGGGCAAGAAAAAAATATAGATATTTGCGGTCGCCTGCATCATATATCGAATCAAAAGGCAAGAGCCGGAAGAATGGCTTGTTGAAAGAATCTTGTGCAACGTCTAGATCTACCCCATTAGCTGGGTTGGCTGGAAATTCAAAGATTGCATTAGAGAAGCACACAAGACTTGAAAACACCCGTGAAATCAGGGAGAAGGCAGATCGAGGAACAAGAAAGAATAAGCGTAAAGGAAACACATGCCATTTCTTCGACATGATTGTTGGCTGTCCCTCACCATAAAGCACGGTGGTGGTGATGGCCAAAACGCCGAGACATCTCTGCCTTTCTTTGTCTGCACACAAAGACCTCCCAACTAGAGTATGAATTGTTTCTGTCTCGGCCGGGTGGTTGCCGCTAATTTCTGGGCCGTTGTGTTTGATCTTGAGCGTTTGATTTTGCAAACCAGCATTTGTTTGAGCGTGCCCGGCTTATCGAGGGAGTGCGGCTCGGCTAGCTGCAGTGTGTACAAGTGCTGGTCAATGATGGTACATGCCGTTACCTAGCCGATATAATGTGTGAGGTGTATTGTACTCATGAAACTCAGCGCTGTGATTAAAATCAAGGTTCCTTATGGGTGTCTTCCTTAAATAGGGATTATGTATTTGGCCCGGCGTTTGACTGTGGCAGTTCCCTGCCATGTTGTGTCCACGGGCCCCCGAGAAACACACCCTTAATGCCATCCGAGGAGAGCACTTCCTCGTAGGTACAGAACTAATTACCTTTAGGCACAGCTCGTAGGGTAGTAAGTCAGGTATTTGCTGGTACCTCGAGCCTGGAAACTGGGCACGCGCACTGTTGCTCTGCACCGCCGCCCGCATTGACGCGCTCTCTAGCACACGCCCCTCCCTCCTTCCTCTCTCTTGTTGTTCTCCTCCTTCCCGCCTTTTTCTTTTGCCTTCTCTATACTCAAAACATCTCACTTCAAAACACCCACCCCTTGTTCTCTTCTGCCTGCACTTACCTGAGTAAACCTCGCAAACTCTATTAAGGTAGATTCCATCTCTTCTATTCATCTAATTCGACCCCTTCACTCTTCTCACAACCCCATTTCCTGTCAGCTACCACGCCTTGTGAGGCTGTACAAGGCTTTCTCTTACCACCACAGCATTGAACTTTGCAATAAGTCAAAGTTCACACAATACTGTTGGATACCCTACTGCATCTTTCTCTCCAAGTATCACTTGATTACATGGTTTCGAATCTGCACCGCTCCCCCTCTCACCTTCTCCCTCCGACAGCCATCACTGGCTATTCTTGAACCATGGCTCCGCGCCGGTTTGAAAGATCCGATACCCCGAAAACCCCCCCGAACGGAACTTCTAAGAACGGAAGAAGAACCCAAAATCCCCGTTATCGAGCCCACTCATCATCTCAGACCAACCGAAACAACCATGGCTCCGATCGCTGGTGGACTAAACAATCACAGATCAGGATTTTCTTGGATGGGCTTCCCGCTGGAACAGAAGTCAAACATATTCATGACTGGTTTTCTCCCGAGGGAACGATTGTTCTGATCACGGTTGATGATGATCAATCAAGAGGGAAGATCGTGTTTGCTCCGCCCCCAGACACTCCTTTCTGGCAAACAGGCACCAAGGTTATTCATCATTATGACTTCATGGGATCTCACCCGGACGGGGTCACCATACGCATGAGTGTGGCCCCGGACAATCAACAGAGGCCTTCTAAGCCGGGGGACCAAGTCTCACTGTACCCCCAATTTTTGAAGCTTTACGCAAAGTCCTTCGATTTCGGGACCATGGTGAGCCGAACAGGCATGCGATCGATCAGACATTTCAAGTCTGGCAGGTTTCATTCCCGTGATCTCCGGGTCGAGTTCAACTCCAACTCCAAACGGCTTGAGATTTATTTCTCAATCCCAGGAAAGGACCAGTCATGGCAAGGTATAAGACAGTACAAAGTTCTCATGGACACTGCGCAGATGAAAGATGTCTTCCTAAACGATCTAAGTAACGGAGATTGTGCTTTGACTTTCTCTATGACCTTACCACCTCAGTACTTTTGGAAATCTGATGATGGACCGGAACGTATCCCGTATGGCGCAAAAATTTGGAGCCATCTGGATTCTTGGAATCGCGCCACTGATGTGGCCGAGAACATCCAGACCCCTCTGCGATACCCTGTTGCCCTGTCCAACAAGGTGGCGGATAGAGAATTCCTGGAGATTGGAAGATTGAACACGTTCCGTATTGTTCTTGACAAACAAGAAGATCGACGGGGAGTTGCTTTGTGTGCCCAGCTCCATCAGGCCCTCGTGGATTCCAATGTTGTCTTCAACTCTGACGAGATTCAAGTCACTTCGGCCGGCGAGAACATGTGGTCGTACCTAGATCATCATTACAACTCTTTATTGTCTGGAACTACAACCTCGGAGTTGCTGAGTTTTCCAAAGAATCATGTCTATCTCCCATTTGAGGTACGGTATCAACTTGAAGTTTGCGTCTCAAGAGGCATTCTGAACGAATACACCATCACTTTGGAGTTTCTCACTCAGTTGGCGGACATGGCCCCAATAAAAGCAAGGCAACTGCTCGAATTCATTATGGATAACGACGAACCGCTCTTGGATCCGATGAGTTTGTTCGAAAACAGCGACGCAGATGCTTACTATCCGAACTTGAGGCTTCCCCATTATTGTGCCCTTGTTCGGAAGGCTTCCGTCACCCCAACGACAATTCGCTTCAGCACCCCGAATGCCGAAACCTCCAACCGGGTTCTTCGTGCGTACAATCACCTACAAGACCGTTTCCTTCGCGTCCAGTTCATCGAAGAGTCGGAAAAATCCAGGATTGGCATGTACAGGCCACAAAACGATGCCATTTACAATCGTATCATGAGAGCCCTTTATCACGGCATTCAGATAGGAGATCGCCATTACGAATTTCTCGCGTTTGGAAATTCTCAACTGAGAGAATGCGGTGCCTATTTCTTCTGTCCCACAGAGCATGAAACGTGCGATAGCATCCGAGCGTGGATGGGCCAGTTTGACCACATCAAAATAGTGGCAAAGTATGCAGCAAGACTGGGGCAGTGCCTTTCGACAACCAGAGAGATTAGAGGAATTGCCGCCCCTCAGATAACGAAGATACCAGACGTTGAAAAAAACGGATATTGCTTCTCTGATGGTGTCGGGAAAATGTCCCCCGTTGTTGCCAGTCTAGTCCTTGAGGACCTTCGGCTTGAAAGGTTCCAAGAGCCGGTTGCTTTTCAATTTCGCATGGGTGGTTGCAAGGGCCTTTTAACGGTGTGCCCGGAAATGAATGGGATCAATGTTCATATTCGGGAGTCTCAGAGAAAGTTCGACTCCAGATACAACAAACTGGAGATTATCCGCAGTGCCAAGCCTGCTACAGCCACCCTCAACCGACAAACAATCACAATCCTTGAGAACCTGGGTGTCCCAAAGCACGTTTTCCTCAACTTGCTAGATCGCCAACTTGCAAGATTCGAAGCTGCTATGGTGAATACGAATGAGGCCATCAGCATGTTGAGCCAGCACGTGGACGAGAACCAAACCACTCTGACCATCGCCGAGTTGCTCAAAGCAGGTTTCAAGAATGGAACCACGAGAGAACCATTCGTTACAACGATCCTTGAGCTTTGGAGATCCTGGTCACTGAAGCTTTTGAAAGAGAAGGCTAGGATCGAGGTAGAGGAGAGTGCTTTTGTTCTTGGCTGTATGGATGAGACAGGCTCATTGAGGGGGCACGACTCCACAACTGAGGGCTCTCAAGACAAAGATGAGAACAAGCTCCCTCAAATCTTTCTGCAACTCTCCCACTCGACATCCCCAACAAAGATCGTGGAGGGTATTTGCATTGTGGGTCGCAATCCGTCACTTCATCCAGGGGATATCCGAGTCGTACAGGCAGTCGACGAGCCCAGATTGCATCACCTCAAGGACGTTGTCGTCTTTCCTCGCGGTGGAGATCGGCCGGTACCCAATATGCTGTCAGGTGGTGACCTCGACGGTGACGATTTCTTTGTCATTTGGGATAAAAATATGATCCCCAGTGAGTGGAACCACCCGCCCATGAACTACTCGGGGGTGAAGGCAAAAGAAGTAGAAAGCGGAGTCACGGTCGACCATCTGCGAGACTTCTTCGTATCCTACATGAAGAGTGATGTACTGGGATTGGTCGCCACCTCACATCTTGCGCTTGCGGACCACGCCCCAGAGGGCCCGAGATCTCCCATCTGCCTCGAGCTTGCTTCCTTGCATTCACAAGCCGTTGATTTCCCCAAGACTGGTCAGCCGGTCATTTGGAACCCCAGGTTGCAGCCTAAGGGATGGCCCCATTTTATGGAAAAGAAAAAAGGTTCTTACCACTCGAAGAAGGCGTTGGGTGTCATCTATGACAAAGTGAGCCGTCAATCGGCTGAATTTACACCTAACTGGGCGAACAATTTTGATGAGAGAATCACGAAGCAATTCGAGTTCAGCGACGACATCCTTCGAACAGTTACAGATATCAAAAAGGAATACGATATATCGATGCGTCGGCTGCTCACCCAACATAATATCAAGACAGAATTTGAGCTATGGACTGGCTTTGCCATGTCGAAACCTGCTATCGGCAGCGACTACAAGATGCAGGAGGTCCTGGGGAAAGAATACGAAACTCTCAAGCAAAGATTCAAAGAGATTTGTCACCAGAAAGCTGGGGGAGATAGCCATGAGAAAATGGACCCGTTCGTTGCCGCCATGTATAAGGTAACAGAGGATCAAGTCAAGGCTGCTCTATCATTGCCTGAAGCATCGGAGGACAGCTCTGGGGAGGAGCATACCCGAAACATGCCATTGATCACATTCCCGTGGATCTTCCACGTGAACATTATTCGAATCGTCAAAAAACCGGACAACAAGCACGGCTCGAACGACTCTGTTCTCGCGGCATCAAAGCTGAAGAAAGAGCACCAGAACAGCCTCGGGGCACAGACAAACTCGGGCGAAGATACGAATAAAGCGAGCATTGATGAAAAGAACCAGCTAGGTAATATCATTACTGAGACAGAGGTACTTATTCCAGGCCTTGGAGGAGAGGACTCCAGCAGCAACTCCGGTTCGGACAGCCCTGATGAAACACATCACCACCCTGAATCCACAACCACATCTGCCTCATTCTCAGATAACGAGGGTGTAATGATTACTGAACCTAATGGGCTAAATACACAAAACTCATCACATGCCATCGCCCCGTATGAAGACTTGCTATCAAGTGCGTCAATGGCAGCACTAGAGGGGCAAACAGCGGCTCTCACTTTGGGGGAGGAGACCAATACCCAAAGCTCACCTCCTCCAGTCAGTGCGGCCGTTGTACTTGATGGTGCTGCCAATTTCGCAAGTGAGTCAGGGGATGAGGCTGTCGTACAGAGACAGCCCGAGCTGAACCAGGGTGTCCTCATTGAATTCGATGATGAAAGTGACGAAGAGGCCGCGGAAGATCGGTTAATCAGAATGTGCGCTTGAGGCTGCTATAATGGTGCAGGAAGAGACCGAAGTGGTATGGATTTTGTTGGAGTACTGTATATTTCAAGACTAATCAAGCTGAACTGCGGCGGCCCTCGTTTCTGGAAGGGATGGCAGTGTGGCAATCAGCCATCGTGATTGGCAGGCGTTCATAGCACACTACGTTGAGGACTTGAGGAGACTTGCCCAGGGAGGTCAATATCTAATGCATTGCTGCAGCATGATGAAGTCATCTTTTGATGCAAAGGTCAGTGCGGAGTATCCATTTCTCTCCATCGAGCACTTCTCGGCCCTCATGCTGCAAGAAAGGTACTATTAGTTAGCAAATAAAAATATAGAAAATTCCAAAACCTTCGTGGCCGAGCGCGAGAAAAGAGAGAACAGCTAATAGAACTAATGACAACTCACCAATAGACAATCGTTACCATGCTTGTGTAACAACAGGGCGCCAGTCTCGAGCGGTACCGCAATCTCTTCAGCGGCTGATTTCCTATCATGGGGGTAGAAGACGGTCTCCCCACCTACACAACCTTCGACGGAAGAGGTCAGGTAGAGCAGGCACGTCCAAGTCGTCTTGACTGGGATGGGCGGCTGGGAGGGAAGAATCAGGGTGTTGGAGTCGTCATCTGCCAATCATTTTGGCCGTGTTAGAATACTTGCGAGTAAAGTATTGGAATATGATGCGGGACATGCTACATGTGACATTCATGGGGAATCCATACAGTGACAATCGAAATATTGACCTTTGGTATAGCGGTATACACGTATGTTGGGATTCAGACCAACTGGTTCGCCGCCCCTGCAGGTGAATCTTGCATTAGTATCGGAAAAGCGAGTAAGGAAACCGGCTGGCTGACGAGTGGTGGATAGGTAACCAGCTCAAGGACGGGGGGAGGTGTCTGTTGAATGTGCAGGGGTGAGATTCAAGAGGATACATGGTACCACTCACCAGAGGTGTTTAAGATCCTGATTTTCCAAGATGGCCTCTCTCAGCCCCGTGCTTTCCCACAGCCGGGCGGCGAGGGTGGGATCGTCTATCTGGAAGCGATCGTTGACGCGCACTGCCTCGCCACGCTTGGGGCGCGAGGGTGTCGTTTGTAAAGGCAGTGTCTTGAGAAAGGCAACATATTCCCGACACAGGGACCGGGGGAAGAAGGAGGAGATGAGTGCGATTTTGGGTGTGGCTGGGTGGAGCTGGATGTCCAAATCGACCACGGGCAATTCGGGCTTGAAGGCAGGCCAAGACACGGAGAGGGCTGGCTGGCTAGTTGCTGGTGCCGCGGCCTCCTTGGAGGACTTGGACGCCTTCTTCGGTTTAGCCATATCTTGTGACGATGGGCAAAAGGCAACCAGGGTGTGATTTTAAGTTCCGATATGCTTTCAGCTGAGACTGATCCTCGCCAGATCAGGCAAATGAAATTTCCAGTCAATCAGGTTGTTTCCGGCTTTGCAGAATGATACTCGCGGCTTGGAAATGGGTATCAATGCGATGAGCCCCGCTCGAAAAGTGATGGGTGGAGGGTGATGTGCGTGTCGCTGCGATCCCAAGTGCCTACCCAGCAGTCCGGGGCAAAAGAGCGACCTTGAAGTACTCTTTACACTGAGACAACGGCTGCATCTAAATCTGCACGAAAAGTCGGAATGGGAATAGTCGATTGTGCAAAAAGGCAGAAACTTTGCTTTTGTGATGCTGACGCAAGATCAGCGGCCGGCCTGTCGTACAAGAGACCAGCAATGAGTCGGATGGGCGGGGAGCTAGAAACTCGGCAAGGAGCGCGCTAGAGAATAAAAAGTTTCAGAGTATGAGACGACAATTAATAATGAGGGAGTTGGTGAAGCTGTTGGTTGGGCTATGAATGAATGGGTGTAGGAGTATAGGAGGGTTGAGGCTAAGGTGATGGATAGTCCTGATTTATGCATGTACTCCCACTTGCAGAGCACCCAGGTATCCACACAGGTAGGCACATTCTGCACTTTTTCTCAGGAACTTGTAGTGCTTTCCCTTGCTGTAAGGAAATCGAGGAGAGTTGGCCTTTAGTAATGAAGTGTTAGGTAGAGAAGCAGATGTGTAAGAGATGCGGAGAGTGGCAGGGAAAGTACCTACTGATATCTCGATGAGAGAGGTTCCAGGAAGGTGACTTGGAGGTACCTTCCCCAGGTTCAACGGCCTAACCCGTCCACTGGCAGAAAGTGCTTACGTGATGGCCCGAGATACTGCCGGGGTGCTGATTTTCGCTTGCCTGCACATCTTCTTTTTCATGTTGCCCAATTATCCATGTCTTCATCCTGTTAAGCTGAGAATCCTTCCTCCCTCGCTGTTGGGGAAAGAGTTGATGGATGGCATTTGGAAATCCTGCTGTTGACTTGCCCAATTGGCGCTCTGGCCCCCAACCACTACCATCCCTGGCCATGTCACAACCCATCACCCCATCCCAAGATGAACGGCCAGTAGCCTCACCATACCTGCGCCAAGCAAAACAATTTGGGCTCCTACTTGCGGGAACAGGTTTCCTTGCCACATCAATTGCCATCGCCAGACGCTCCGTTGTGCGGAGAAGATTAGCCACATTCCCATCTTTCTACACATCGAATCGCAGCCCTCCCAATTTTGATGCTTCAGACAGGCAGTTGCTAGCTGTACAAGCATTGGGACTTGCCACACTCAATGTAATGAGCTTCGGGGTAATGCTGGTTGGCGGCATCTCTTGGGCTTTTGATTTGTCCTCTATCGAGGACTTGAGACAGCGCACTCGAACCGCCATGCGCAGACCAAGCAACATAAGCGCCGAGGATGAGAAAGAGGCAGAGCGCGAAATGGAGAAGATGATGGAAAATCTCATGGACAAATTCGGCCTCAAGAAACCGGAAAATGAGGCTGCGGGAGAACCCCCGGCGGATGATGGTGGCCGGCAATGACAGAGTAATGCCCCGTTACATGGGATCTGACACCACCCTCAACACTTTGTACACTACATGCATGCAGCTACTACTGGATCGGCCTGCAGCTCTTCCCCGCCTCTTGCATCTTGGTATTTCTATCTATCTAGACCGGGCCAAGGCCGATCTTGGTCAAAACACCCACCTAGCTATGCGGACTGCAGGCCTGAGTCTGACCCTACCCGACATGGGAGGCACCTGAAGCAGTCCTCGGTGGGCAGCGCTCTCAGCCAGTAGATTGCAATGTAAGGCTTCTCCTCTCCTGCCAATCACATGGATCACCAGTAGTGTTACCACCTCACCGGTGTGATAATACGGTTGCCACGCATAAGTCCCGTTCCCCTCTCTGAACTACATACATGTGCGGCATGTGTCTCTCTTGCGCCCGAGCATGTACTACCTAAGTAGTACGGCCCTTCCGTGACCCTTACTTGCTTTTTTTGCCGCTTCTTGCTTTTGGAACTACTTTCTCTTCTTGCTCCAATCAACACTCAACGTCGGCACGCTTGGGATGCATGTCACTGGGATACAGCAACTCCCTTGTTGCGGCCAAGATTCTATTACCCGGAGCTGTTTCTAGTCGCAATGGTTGCGGTAACCTCTCAGCCATCGTTCCCAGGCCGGGGCGCGGAAAAAGCAAGGTGCAGCGTCCTGCAAACGCCCCATACGCACGGAGACCTAACCAACCTTACTCTCAAGGATGCCAGCCGCAGCATGCATTGATAGTTCGTGTCGAGAGGACCAAAGTAGACTAAGGGGGGCTTTGGATCGGGGCGATCACTGAAATCGGTTGATGCCCATTGGGCTTCTTTCTGGGAGATGACAGGCAGCCAGGCGGCTGAAATGTCTCAGAACGATGGCAACTTGGTCAATGGGCATGGCAAGCAGGCACATCGGCCCACCATGCAAAGGACTTATCCTGTGTCATGGCGGGCTGACTGGTGGCGTCTGTGCATTGCACAGCATCTTAAGCCCAAGCCGTTGGCCAACGAGGTATGTTCAATTGATAAGTATCAAGGAGGGGAAGGAGGAGACTTGTCGATATTCATTCATTCTTATCTCTTTGCAAGCTGCTCCCCATCGATCAGTCCACCCACGCCACATACACACACGCAGCGATGATGCCAGAAGTTCAATACAACCCGCAAGGGGCTGTATGGAAATACACGTACGCGGAGGGCCCTGAATCTGGCCGAGTTTTCTTTCACTCCCCCCAGCGCCACTGGAGCGACCAGCGTGCCTCGCTTGTTCTACGACAGGTCAATTCGACAGATGAGAACAAGGTGTGGATCAACACAGATCCCTCCCTCGTCGTCAGATGCGACGAGCTCAACTCATTTCCGACCCCAGAAGATGCCCACGGCGTCATTATTTGCAGCGGGCTGGCCAGATCTTTGTCTCCATCGCACAGACAGATTACACACCATCGTGGGGAGCGAATCTGGGTCGAGCACAGTATCAACCCCGAATGCGGACCCAACGGACTTATCCCAGTCATAAGTCTGGATACTCTGGAACACTTTGAAATACCGCACCGACATATCTGCTTTGTGGCCCAGGTCACCCGTTTCGATGCTTTTGGGGGCCAGTATTACGGAACTCCAGTAGGCCCAGCCCGCAACCGCCAACCAGTCGAGCCGCAACAGCATCAGTCCCGACAGCAGTCACAATGCAGCCAAGCCTACGTCGAATGGCCGGTCTCGAAGCCGCAACTGGCCTGTTTCCAGTGGCACCCTAGCCATTCCGACGCGGGCGAAGATGCAAGCTCTTCACTCCACGGCCTTCAACTCCTCGAGTCCGTGGAGGAACGCCGCCGTCTTTTTCAAACAAACTGGGTCGTCGTCAGCCAACATCTGCAAGCTCCTACCCAACCAGGCGAGGAAAACGATGCGATTTTCCTTTCTAAGTCGTCTGTACAGGCTGGTAAACAGGCTGTTCGCAAGAACCCTGAGGAGTCTCAGGCGAGCCCAGAGTCAACTAGCTGGGTTCGTGTTGCATCCACTCAGAGTAATTTAGCAGAGCTAATTGGGATAATCTAGCAGGGCAAATCTGGTAGCGCAGCGTACGTAGCTTCTAGTTACGCAGAATAGAAATAGTCATTTTTTGACTGACAATTCGAGAAAAGTAATCCACCCTTTTTGTGACACTACGTGAATGGCCATCATGGCTACTGTGTCGTACGTGATAAGAAGGCATCTGCCGTCCTTCTGATACAAGGCCCATTGGAATTACTTCAGTTCCTCCTGGAACAGTAGCACTGGCATTGGAACGTCTCATATCATGGCTTTATTCAGTGGAGGTGACCAAGTACGGGATAAAAAATTGGCAGGTAAAGGGATCTTATCCTCTCACGGGTTTGTACCTTGATTCGAAGCGGTTACAAAAGAACAGAGAGCTCAGTTGTGATAATCATTCGATTAGTATAAGATGGACTATAGGGATTTATTATCAAACCACTCCTTGTGAAGTAATAATACAAGTCGCTCATGAAGTAATAAACAAGAAAAAATATATGCAAACTAGTCATAAAGACGTTGATTTATCAGCATTTCTTCTTCTTTTGCCTGCCCATGTGTCCTGTGTCCCGCAGTAACATCTTTTGATCTTTTTTTCTATTTCTTTATTTTTTGTATTATCTCAGAGAAAGGGGGAGAGGGGGAGTCTACGCCACTCGCCCCCTCTGAGCTGTATAAACTGTAAATTCTTTCACGATGATGCTTGCGCTTGTGCTTGTGCCCTCACGGCCGCCCTCCTCATCTCCTGCATGTTCTCGAGGCTTCCCCTGCGGCCCCAGTTCCTAGGCTGCCTCTTGAGGAAGGCGCCGACGCTGCCGAGGTAGCCCTCGTGGCGGAGGAAGTAGGCCTGCTTCTCGCCTTTGCTCCAGAACTTGATGGCGTAGCTGAGGGTGTTCATGGTCTGGCGGTGGCCGCGGATGAAGGAGCCGCCAAAGTAGATGTTGGATAGGTTGTGGATCTGGGACTGGAGGTAGGCAATCTGGCCGATATTGTTGGAGATGGCGTACAGGAGGGAGCGGGAGATGTCCGGGCCGGTGAAGGGGGCGTCGGAGGGGATGTACTGCGAGCCCGAGGAGGAGGAGTGGTGGTGCTGCAGGCCGTCCTTGGCGGGAGGGTCGCGGCGGGCGGGACCGAGGTCTTCGGCCTCGGCCTCTGCCTCGCGCTTCATGCGGAAGACCTTGCCAAAGGACGAGGCGATGGTGGTGCTCTTGAGGCCGATCTTGCCGTAGTCGCCGCCGTAGATGTCGCCGACGAGCATGTCGACGTTTGTGTTGTCTCCGTGCTCCGCCTGGGCGAGCATGTCGTCGAAGGACCGCGCGCCGGTCAGCAGGGAGAGCAGACCCCAGAGGGTGCCGCCGCCGAGCGAGGTGCCGCCGACACGCTGGAAGGACCGCGGGCCCGTGACCTTGAGCATGGAGACACCGGAGCCGATGTTGACGAGGAGGTAAGGGTATATGTCCTCTCGGGGCGGGACGAAGTGCATTGGGTCGGTGTCGGAGTAGGTGAAGACCTCGCGGGGTATCTCAGTGATGAAGAAATCGAGGCCTGGTGGGAGGGCTAGTCAGTGTCCAGCTCTTCAGTCATAAAACATTGTGTCCCTACCAATCATCAAGCACTCCATCTCCTCCTCGCGCAGCACATCTACACCAAGTGCTTCGCGGATCTTGTCGTAGAACTTGTACGCCCCGCCTCCCGTAGCCATGACGCACAGCTCCCCCGGATGCGATCCGTTGCCCATGAGCTCGGTGTCGCGCAGGTGCTTCATAAACTCTACGCAGTCGTCGATCCTGTCGGTTTCGAAGTTCTGGAAGTTTAGGCGGCCGCCGGCATCGGTGGAATCGACCTCGCGCGAGAAGTATACTAGCTTGATCAACGAGCCGCCAATCTATTTGCGCCGGCGCATGTCAGTAAGCTCGTATTCCTCTGGAACTGGACACATCTGCCGACCAACGTACATCAATGGCAATGTGGCTGACAACGGCTGTGTGGTTCGGTAAGCGGATGTCGCTCGTCTCATGATGTGTCGGGCTGTGGCGGCCGCCATTACTGAGGGCGGGCGTGGCTGTATCGGGGTCGACGATGAAGGCGCCCTCGACGTTGATCTTGACGCTGCCGGGCCGGATGATGGTATTGTTGATCTCATCAGTCGAGGTCGTTAGCCGGGGCTTGTGAGGCTGCTGGTCCACGGCACTATCGCCGTTGGGGATCCGGGCGTCCGCGGCGGCCGTTGCCATGTTGGCGGTATCGGCGCGCGCGGGCTGGCGGCTGCTTGCAACGAGAGGTGCAGCAAGGCTGCGATGCTGAAGCTGAGGAGGGGTCAAGGTCGGTCAATGCGGAGCTGGTTTGCTGGAATGGTAGGATGGAGGAGGCGGATAGGTAGATTCGAGGGTGATGAGGCAATCTTGGCAATGCTCAGCTGTCTTTCGAGGGTAGAGATAAATGCGATGAGAAGGAGAGAAGTGGTCTGTCAATGGGTTAATGGGGAGCCGGAAGCGTCCATCAAGTCTCGTGTTGGCGGGCTAAAAGTCACCGGGATGGGCTCAATGCCGCCGTCGGCTCTTATCGATAAGCCGTATCTGCCCGTTTGGCCGAGGCTCTAGACAGACAACCGAAATGATCGTGGGGTTTGCTTTTCCTTCTTAGGTAGTCGGCAATGGGGTTATGAACTGTGTGGTTCCTGCATGTCTGTCCCATTTATATATGTTTCCATTGTCGCTTTCAGGTTGAGTTGGCTTTAGCCTCAGAACCACTGTCAGCCACAGAAGGCAATCTTCCCTGTATCACCTTTAGCTACTATCCTGGAGACTATCACGACGTAACTTTATTAGTCTTATACTTTCATGATGGAAACCGTGCTCAACTCCATCTCTGTAGGCCACATTGGCCTTTCAATGGTACAACTGCCGATGTGCCCAGCCCACCTCTAACCACCTGACATCACTAACTTGAGGTCTCGCACACATTGATGCTCATGGCCCTAAGTGAGCCTATATAGTCTCCGGTACCTAATAATAATAGCCTTGTAAAGGGCATGAATGAACAAAAGGTATATCTCTCATATTTACACGAGTTAGCAGGCTACAGGTCTTCGTTTTGATGGAATGGATACTGGTTGATTGTTGGATCAGGATGTATAAATAACCACAAGCAAAAATGGCAAGCGGAAGATAGGAATGGCCCAGAGAAAGGACCTTCTTTAGGTAAATACTAACAACTAATATTCCCGCTAGCTCTAGGGAAAATTACGGACTGCAGCGAGCGGACGACCGGGGCAGACGTCACAGCTAACTAATTTTCTTTCACGAACCCGAACAGCGGTCATACCCGAAATAGGTAGTAAACTCTTAGAAAACCTATCAGAGTCAACACGCATCAATGCCTCTCAGAAAACTTAGAAAGAAAGAAATAAGAAGAAGGGAAAACTTTAATTAGGGCCAGCACGTATAAATAGGTCAAGACCCCGAGAAGATGTCAAGACTAAACTACTCCAGCTTACACCAGTTAACTCCAAGAAAATCTACAAACAATCCATGGTTCCAGTCTAACAACAGATCCTGCTCAAAGCAGACAATGAGACTCACAGGCAAAAGCCACAGCCATAGCAAAGAATCCTACACTCTAGCAATCAGTAACCAATCAATCATTATACGTGAAAATAAGGCTGCGTAGGACGTAGGGAGTATTTAGGGTAGCAGCATCGGAAAATAATAGCGCATTGACTGCTGCCGAGTTCAGCCGAAGTCGGTTTATTTAGATCCACCGCCAGGATGCTGGACCTTGGTAAATCTTGAACAACTAATTATTTATTATTCGAGGTCCGGAACTCTCGCGGGACAAGAAACGTCAATTGCCTCGCGAGCCCGAAGAGCCAGAAGCTGCCAGCCATCAGAGTCTGCCAGAGAGCCCACTTTTGATCTGCTCCAACTGCAATCCCAGGTGCTACCCCAACCAGCCCTTTGCAGCGCCATCCAGCAGTAGCAGCCATGCTTCGAACCTTGTCGGCGAAATCAGGAGCTGCCGGCCTCGGCCAAGTGAGGTCATGCCAGTCGCTCCCGAGCAGCACATGCTTCTCCTCATCGGCGCGACGATTGGCCTCGACCTCGACCACACACTCCCCCGCATCCATCTACCTTCGACGAGCCCAGCCGTCTTCCTCGACCAAAATCCCCTCCACCTCCCGCAGCTTCCACAACACCGTTGGCAGAATGTCAGTTTCGACCCGAACCGAGAGCGATGCCTTTGGCGAGGTCCAGGTCCCCGCCGACAAGTACTGGGGAGCCCAGACCGAGCGATCTCTCGAGAACTTCAAGATCAACCAGCCCCAGGACCGCATGCCCCCCGCCATCGTCAAGGCCTTTGGTATCCTCAAGGGAGCTGCTGCCACCGTCAACATGCGCTACGGTCTTGGTAAGTCCAGGTCCGCCCATGGCCTCAGAGTGCATGGCTAACAAGTCGCCTTTCAGACCCCACCATTGGCAAGGCCATCCAGCAGGCTGCCCAGGAGGTCGCCGACGGCAAGCTCCTGGACCACTTCCCCCTCGTCGTCTGGCAGACCGGCTCCGGCACCCAGTCCAACATGAACGCTAACGAGGTCATCTCCAACCGTGCCATTGAGATCCTCGGCGGAGTCAAGGGTAGCAAGAAGCCCGTCCACCCCAACGACCATGTCAACCGCAGCGCCTCCTCCAACGACACCTTCCCCACCGTCATGCACATCGCTGCTGTTCTTGAGCTCGAGAGCGACCTTCTCCCTGCTCTGCGCAGCCTCCGCGACGCTCTCCAGGCCAAGGTTGACGACTTCGAGGCCAAGAAGATCATCAAGATCGGACGTACCCATCTCCAGGATGCTACCCCGCTCACCCTTGCCCAGGAGTTCTCCGGCTACGTCGCCCAGCTCGAGTTTGGAATCAAGCGTGTCGAGAGCTCCCTGCCCGATCTCCGTCTTCTCGCCCAGGGCGGTACTGCTGTCGGTACTGGGATCAACACCTTCGTGGGCTTTGCCGAGGGCATTGCTGAGGAGGTCACCAAGATGACCGGCACCGAGTTCAAGACCGCCCCCAACAAGTTCGAGGCCCTTGCTGCCCACGACGCCATCGTCCAGGCCCACGGCAGCCTGAACACCCTGGCCACCTCCCTCACCAAGATTGCCCAGGACGTCCGATACCTGGGCAGCGGCCCCCGCTGCGGTCTCGGCGAGCTCATCCTCCCCGAGAACGAGCCCGGCAGCAGCATCATGCCGGGCAAGGTCAACCCCACCCAGTGCGAGGCTCTTACCATGGTCTGCGCCCAGGTGATGGGTAACCACGTCGCCACCACCATCGGAGGCATGAACGGCCAGTTCGAGCTCAACGTTTACAAGCCTCTCGTCATCCGCAACCTCCTGCACAGCTCCAGGCTGCTCGCAGATGGCATGCGCTCGTTCGAGAAGAACTTGGTTGCTGGTCTGCAGGCCAACGAGGAGAAGATCTCCAGCATCATGAAGGAATCGTAAGTTAACACACCCTAATACTCCAACTGTCCAAACAATTTTGTTAGTTTATGAATTCATGCTAACTGACCTCTGTAGCCTTATGCTTGTCACCTGCTTGAACCCCAAGATTGGCTACGACATGGCCAGCAAGGTTGCCAAGAACGCCCACAAGAAGGGTCTCACCCTCAAGGAGAGTGCCATGGAGCTGAATGCTCTCACCTCTGAGGAATTCGACACCCTGGTCAAGCCCGAGCTGATGGTTGGTCCTTCGCCTTACAAGGGCTAAGCATGGGGGTGAAATAGGGTTTGGAAAAATAAAATAAAAGAAGAAAACTGTAATTACTACCAACGGAGCGTTTGTTTTCAATAGAACCGCTAGAGCACCTCCTTGAACAAAACAAAGTCTCATAGGCCGCACCCTTGTTGTTGCATTATCTCAGTTTGAGTACGTGCTGAAGAGATGTGGATTTGCCTCCTCGAGCGACTGGGAGTGCTTGCTGGTTACTCTCTATATAGCCCCTGACCCTGGCGATGGCTCTTTCATTCAATGTAGCCTTGAAGGTTCAAGCCCAGTACATCATCAACATTTGAATGATTGTTCGGCAATAATACAAGATACCACCTCCCGGCTATTTTGGACGGATATCAAGAAAAGAATTGAAAATAATGAGACAATACAAAGAATGACATGGCATACAGAATCGATTCGCAGCATCTCTTCTGCCACATTTTATATACCCAGTTCTATAAGGAAAGCACCCATCCGCCCCCTCCCACATGGTATCATTGTGGCTCAACGCCATCTCATTCAAAAGAGGTTGCCTCCGGGAACAGCGACAAAGATGGCAGTCAAGACCCCACCGAGAAGGAGAGCGGCCAGCATGGCCTGGACGAAAATGGTGTCTTGGATCTGCCGGAGAGCAGGCTCCTCGATCCAGATCTCCCGGTCAAAGACCTTGCGGACAATGTTGCGCTTCTCGTACCTGACCACCCAGGGCTCCTCCTCGTAGCTGTTGGTGGACCCGAACGAGTCCACGCTGCGGCTGCCAACACCCCTGATCCCCTCGACGTCGTCTTCCCCCTCCTGCTCGAAGAGCTCCCACGGGCGGACGTGGTGGTGGTGCATGCCGTGCAGCACGACGCACATGCCCTTGTAGGCCGCCACGAGGGTGCTGATGCCCAGGACCCACGCGATGGCGGCCAGGGCGCGGTAGCCCCTCCCCATGCTGCTGAGGGTCAGGACGAGGGCGATGACGAAGCCGATGAGGATGAGGGCGACGCCGAGGGATCGGGCGAAGAAGACCCGGGCGGGGTTGCCGTTGCAGATGGACCAGCGGACGAAGTTGGGGTGGGCCTGGCGGCGCAGGGAGGACTCGACTGTCTTGATCAGGCCGCGGAGGGCAGATGGGTGGGTGGTGTAGGCCAGGGCCTGGACGGCGGCCTTTTGCTCCCAGGAGGCGAGGTTGAGTTGCCGAGGGGCACCGTCCATGATGTATGTGGCGACAACACGGTTGATCTCTTCACGATATGGCTGGATGGTAACTGAATAATAGAAGTTAGCATCTTGAGACGTAACTAGTTATTCTGAACAGCATTTGGGGGTAAGAACATACAAGGTTGCTTCATTCCAGCAGAGTGGAATGCCTCAGCAGCCTGCTGCTGTAGTGAAGAATGGGAGGTAGAGATGGTGCGCTGCACGGAGGCGGCGTCATGATCCATGGACTTTGATGGAGGAGTGGCGAACGGGTCGGCATCGTTGGCCCCTTTCGGGAGAGGCAGGTCTTGAGCTTGCTTCTCAAAGTCGGTGCCCTGGAAGATTTTGGCAGCCTCGACCTCGGCGCGCATCTTGTCAACGTTATCCTTGCGAATCTTGGCGACAGCGTCATCCTGCATGGCTTGAGTCCACTCAGGGGCTAGAGAAATGTCGCTTGTGGTGGCAGACCCGAATCGCTTCTCGTAGTCGCGATACCAGAGGAAGAACTGTAAGTTCTCGGCAGAATGTTCAACGTAGACCAGGTAGTTCATGAAGTCTCGAACAGTCATGGGCTTCAAGCGAAATTTTCCGGGTTAGTTTTGGCATCACTCGATATGTACCGTACGGAGAAGAAGAACGGCTTACAGGACAGGTGCCACCGCTGATGATCTTGTCAAAGCTCAGTGATTCCGGGATACCATTGGAACGGCCAGAGGTGCCAGACTTGACTGAGCCATCACTAGGGCTGGTGTCATCACTTGCCGTTGAGGGGCGAGATGAACTGGCAAGTGAGCTAGAAGAGACGTGCTTTGGGCGCGTGTAAGTTAGAGGAAGGAGTCCCATGGTGATGAGGGTAGCAGAGCAATTGTTAAGACACTAGAAGGTATAAGAGAATGGCACCCCAAATCTGGTGACCTGGAAGAAATGAGTGTTAATAGAGAAGATGGGAAAGGCGATTCCAATGACTGTGAACGAGTAGGTTGGTCTACTTGTTTATTTGATTGTTAGAGAAAGTAGAAGTATATGAAAATGAAGAAAAGTGCTTTAAGCTCTCGATCCGAGGTAAATACCAACCAGGACAAGGGAGGGAAGTACACGGGGAACGGCAGATATATACATTGGAATGCCGGGGAAGTGGAAACCGTGGGAGCAGACACAAGAGACACCACATGACAAGGGCAAATGGATCCATTATTGAGACCAAGTGTGGGATCATTCAGGTTAGCAATAGATGCACCACGTACGTACATGTACGTTAGTCGCCAGATAGACACCATGTAGTGTTATGTAGGGATGGACGCCCAGATGCTCCCCAAGTTGGGCGAGATGGGACTTCCCGAATAAATCCGGGTCCAAGACTCGAGCCGGCTGAAGTTTTGGGCTGGCATAAAAGAGATGAACAAATCAAACGAGCCGCAAGCACCGTGCAATGGGTGTTGTCTCTGACCCTCTCTCTCTCTTCTTCCTCGGCGCAAGGGGAACCACTGTCTGAGTTGTCAAAGCACACCTAAATAGGTACCTTCTCGATGACATTCCCACCTCATACCACGTACAACCTAAATATCAATATTGGTGACATCGAAAAGTCTAAATCCAGGAGGATCGCCCACCATCCTCGTAGCCATACGTCCAAGGACACGAGTAGGCAAGGGATCGCCCTGGTTCTTCGCTACGCAGGTGGAGTCTGTCACTGGCTGTGCTTCTGGTTGGCTCATCGAGGTCGATCAATCGAGATAGGAGCATGTGTGGGATGGTGGGCTCCGCGGATCCGGGGCTTGGTAACGACGAATGGGTGCGAAGCCATCCAGAGCCATGCTCGGATGGAGGGAGGTACTTGCGCAATTACTCGTGGCCTGTGTTGAGTCAGTCACAAACACACTACTGCCCAGCCAGCCGTCGGGCGATGAGAAACAAGGCTCAGCTGCCCGTTACATTGTTCCGCGATGGGACGACATGGCCCATGGCACGGCATCAATTGGCACGGCATGGCATGGCAGACCCGCTAACATTCGGGACCCCGGGACCATTTTCACCTAAGCGCAGATTTGAACCAAGCCCACAGCCAGACGAGCGAAAAGTCATAGATCCTGGTCTGGCCAGAAGTGGCGCCAAGCGTCGTTGGTGATAGGGAGGCTAGTGCATGTTGAGCAAGATGGGAATCTGAATTGCCCAACCGCTACTTGACTTTCAGCTCGGCCAGGTACACGACAAGATGGGGCCGCTGGTCCAGAGATGAAAAGAGAAGAAAAAACGGGCACGTTTGGGTGGCTTGTGGACGATGTTGTTTGGATGTGCACGGCATCGTCCAATGAGATTTGACAAGTCAAGCCTGGCGTGATAAAGACACACACCTGCGACTTGATTGGTACGCCGGCAAGCCACAATAAGGGAGGGTTTCATCGAGATATCCCGTACCATCAAACAATTGGGGGATGAAGAGGTGCGAGCGAGGGTGATGTAAGTTCTCGAGTCTGGTCCAGCACCGTGAATGATGAATGTTCCCCGCCTTTTCAGCCTAAGCAATGCGCTCAGGCCTCGCATCAACCACTAAACTCAGTTGCGGTTGAGCACTTGCGAGGCACCGGCCAATAGCAACCCTGGCTCGAGTCCTAACCAGGTTAGATCTCTGATCAATATCCACTAGACCGGCCCCTACCGGCCCCTAAGACCCCCTAATCCACCTAAGCCACCGTTCTGCTGGGGGCCCTCTGTCTTGGTGTGCCTCAATAGTACAATGCGCCGACGCAGATTTATTTGTTTATTCCTTCTAGACCACTCACAATGAGATTGAGTGTTCGCATTCTTTATTCTTCCCTGCTTGCGTTACCCAGAAACTACGTATCACATGTACGACACCGATCCAAACAATGAGTGGGATAAAAAGCAAGTATACCCCTGCCGCATGTCATACTTGCTGCCGTTTGCCCTCCTATATCTCCCTGGAGCAGCAAAAGCAACAGTTTTAACCATCTGTGGGTTGTAATATAAAGTATGAGCCGTAGTAGAATCTTCACCGTTCGTAGTTTGAGGAAGTGCTGGTATGCTACATAAATATCGTTCACCAGCCTCATGTTCGGGGGTTGGAGTAATAAAGCATCGTTCATCTTCCGCTGGCCGTCGGTACGTTTCCGCCGACGATGCTTCCCCTCTATCCACTAGTTTAATTTATCATGCTCGTTGACTCCGTCGGTCGAGACAGCATTCGGTATAGCCTCGCCGAGTACGAGAAGCTCTCCGTTAGTGCAGTCAGTCCTACAAATCTTGGCCTCGTCAAGCGGTGATTGATCCTCGCTGAGAGGGAAGAGCCTCGACTGGAAGCCATGGATGAGGTATCTGGACTAGTTTGTAAAAAGGAAATTTTCCTCTGATAGGTTCTTGGTAGGTACTGGATATAAGAGGATGGGTTGATGATAAGAGTCTGTAGCCATTGTTGATGAATGAAGGCGCCTTCTTGATATTTCTGTCATTCTGTCACTCTCAACTTTCACCATTACGTCTATAGCAGATAGATCTTTTATCTACCTAACGCAATCCAACACTGTACACAAGAATGCAATACTGTTTGCCTTCAGCTACAGAGGTGGTTGGCCGTGCCTTTCTAGACCTCTTCTGATACGCTTCCGCCCAAGAAAAAACCACCCAGTCACCCACTAATTTACTTAACATACTCGGTGATTCCATCAGTCGAGTCGACATCCGGGATGGCCCTGCCGAACGCAATAAGTTCGCGTCTGCAGTACGGGTCAGTACTAATTCTCAAGTCTTGAAAAACGCTGGTGTGCTAGCATACCCGGCCATGACCTTGATCCCCCGGCTGCTATCCAAGAAATGTGCACAGTCTGCCGACAGCGACGAGTATTCCGGTGATGCGAAGAAGGCTTCGGCGTCCTCCCATTTCTGGAACCAGAGCGCTGAGCAGCCGTCGTAGTCAAAGACGTCCATACCTAGAGCCTTGGCCCTGGCCTTCATTTCTGGGGTTTGGTGAAGCTAGATGCGTAAGTAACCATAACCCCCTTTTCATTCTCATCATTTAGACACTCACTTGCGTGTATCTCTGGACCTTATGGGCCCCGAAACTGCGAGCCGCCACTGTAATGTCGGAGTGAATGTGCGCATAATGCTTGTGGAAGTGCTCTGATGAGACCTCGGGTAGCTTGTAGAAAAAGAACTCGAGTTTAATACATGCTATAATAAGTTTCTCGTCAGCTCCTCTTCCAGCAACGTGATAATTAAATCTCAATTTCAGCTGCTCGCTGCCTACGCTGAAAGTTTTCAGGGGTGTCGTAATCGAAAAGCTCAAAGTTGAACTTGTGATCGATCCGTTGGTGGCCAGTGGCCCTATCACCTGATACGGCTGTCATCACTTGAAATATTGCTACAAATTTGGTGTTGAAAGCTTATGGTTGAAGTTGTCAGTGCCTGTCTCCTCGGCTGGGTGCGATATCTCATCCCATCCTGGTCGGCCAGTATTGGTCTCATGATATATATAATTTCACCTATGAGAACGGGCAGTCAGTTTAGACAAGGGCTCATTAGCTTCAGTGCCAAGATATTTCTCCGATCAGTCCCCTCGTGGATGAACTTAACCGAAGTGGTTGTACGCTGGAGAGCTTGTCCGGGAGTCGCTATACCTTTACGTCGCCTGAGAGTCGATAGAAGGAGGACAACTTTAGCGAACGGCTTAGTCCTCGAATATGGAGGGGCCGGGGAATCCGTATCAAGGTGAAGCTTGACTAAGCTGGATCATTCGTTCACCTAGGCATCCCATAACTTGGTTGTCATGATGCCATTTCGGCTCAGAATGTCTCCAATAATTCTATACCCTGAATAATATGACTTTTATCTCGTTTCCTTTTTTAGCGAGTCAAGTTACGATGTCAAGCAGAGCATATTTCAGAAAACTTGATGGCCACATCTTTCAAGATGTCGAAAAAATTCTTTAGTTGCTACAATGAGAGTACTTTCTAAAATACAACGACCTGGCGGTACTTTGCCTTTCCGCCTTGCATATCTGCTACCATCTGAGGAAGTTCCTCAAGAGTCCTAAACTCAACAGCTGGTTGGATGTTGTGCTTGGCGGTAAACTCCACAGCCTTGGCCATCCGCTGCGGGATGCTCGTGCTGTCGGCCTTGATGCGATACCGACCAGTGGTCAAGTCAAAGGTGGACACGGAGATGGGCTGCGAAGAGATGCCGATCACCATGAGCAGACCGCCGATCCGCAGCAGCTGAGGCGCAGAGGCATATGCAGCCGGCGCCCCAGAGAAGACGGCGGCGGCGTGGCAGCCCTTTCCGGTGAGCTTCTTGACTTCCTCGGCAAGGTTGGGCGTTTTGATGGAGTTGAACACCGCGTCTGCCCCAAGGTCCTTGACCGACTGGAGCACTTCGTCGTTGATGTCTACGCCGACGACCTTGAATCCCATTGCTTTGGCGTACTGTGTGGCGTACTGGCCGAGTCCGCCACAGCCTACCACCGCGAGCCACTCTCCCTCTTTCAGCTCACAGCTATCCACAGCGTGGAAGGCTGAGTTGGGTAAACACATTAGCCAATATCACGAAGTGGTAACGATCATGTCGGAGCCATAAGCTACATACCTGTGATACCCGCGCAAAACAAAGGGGCACTGCGCTTCATATCCAGCTCTTTGGGAAGTACAACAGCATTGTGGTAGTCGACGACGACATACTCTTGGAAATAGCCATCCGCCAGGAACCCCTGAAGCTGGGGTTGACTGACCTCGCACCAATTGTTGTGGACCATGCAGCCATCGCATTCGTAGCAGCAGTTATTGAAGTAGTTGAACCCGATTGCGTTGCCAATCTCAAAGCCCTTGCCTTCCGCTGAAGGGTGAATCTTTTCAATGAATCCGACTCCCTCGTGGCCCATTGTGATGGTGGCCTCGGGGCGCAGTTCAAGATTCAGATCAGAGTGGCATAGTGAAGCAGAGTGGATTTTGACGAGGAATTGGTTCTCCCCAGGCACTGGAACAGGGATGTCATTGATCACCACCTTCTTCTGTTTCTATTTCGTTACTCGTGTCAGCTTCTTTGCGATTCTATGATGAAAGATATGCACTCGAGTGGAATAAAGACATCATACCCCATCCCATTGTCCGGCTTTCATCTTGGAGGCTAAGAGGATAAAGTTCGATTTGTAGTAGCCTTTGGGATTCAATCAGAGAATTAAGGTCGTCACAGTACTTCAGCTGAAGAGAATCTCAAACAAGTTAAAGACAAGGGATTTGATTCTATTTTTTTCATGACATAAGAGTTTGTCTGCAGGTTGTTGTGAGAATCTTGTCTTGGCTCCCCAGGCTCAACTCAGGAAAAAGGAAGCCGCGAGGCCTTGAGGCGAAGCCACAAGTAAGCAAGGCGCCTCTGGGGAGCACCACCTACACCCTATCGTAGCGTAACAAATGATCGGTCCGTGGCTAAATTGTTGGAGTCGCCGTCCCCAATCGAGGGGTAGAGGAAAGGACTCCGGGGCCGGGTGTCGAAATCCGGGGGAGTGGGGCCGCCCCGAGCAGCTGGGAACTATCGTGGTCTTCATTAGCTCTCTCTCTCGATCAGCGGAAGAGCTTTCCCCTTGCCTAAGGTATGAATGAGCCCACCGATACCGACTTTACCCCAGATAAAAGATCTACTGAATCATTGGGCCGTTCTCCCTCCCTATCGTGGGGTTAAGACGCCCGATGTCAAATCCACCCATCATCTGATCTAGGGAAGAGGATACATGGTATTGAGGCTGAAACTAGGCCCGTCACAATAAGATAGATCAGTAGTAATGATTTAAGATGCGCCGAGTATTGTGTTGATAAGTCAATCATATCATGTGCCATTGTTGGAAACGAATGTAGCTAGGGTTTGCCGCAAATACCTTTCTATTCCCTGTCCAGGCTAGCAGATCGAATGGTTATCTGAATCCTTCAGCAATTCGTGTCGGTCCAGCAATTCCGGAGACGAAACTTACTTTCTCAGGTTATTTAGGTTTAGGTGCATTGGTTCAGAATAACCTGAATACCTAGCCATAGGTAGCGCTCCCCTCTGCCCGTGTAAGTGGCCATGATCAATCGTTCCTAGCGGGTCCTTAAAGATCAGACTGGTGCCTTCGATCCCTTATTCTAATGCCCTGTATAATCGCCAACTTTATCTTGCACCGGATTTACCCTAATTACACTCGAAAAGTTGACGGACATCATGGCACACTCTTCCGAGGCTGAGCCACCGCAGCTCCCTTCTCAAGATGAGAAGGAGAATGTCACCAACCAGCAGGTTGAGGACGCAAAAATATCGACAGATAATGAGCTGGTGGTGACCCAAGAGGGATCTGAAACAATAACCGCCAAGACATGGATTGTCATTTTTGTAAGTCATGACCTAGCCCCAACATTGATGCTAGTTTCTGACCACCAGAACCTCAGTTCTTGTCGGCGACTTTCGGGCTCAGCTTTTGGCCAGTACCAACTACGGCAGCGATGCAGGCAAAGATAGCCACTCGGTTTGGAGATCCGTTGTCATACGTTTGGTATGGTAGGTGCTTTGCTGATGGAAAACATGCCGGTGTCTGTTGCTAACTTCGCCTGTGTGGAAAGTTCCGGCTTACACAACAGCAAACTCGATCGCCTTCATCCTCGCCGGCACAAACAGCGATCTTTTCGGTCGTAGAATAGTGCTTCTTCTGGGGAATTCCATATGCAGCGTGGGATTCATCATCATTGCCACCGCCCATTCGTCAACACAGTTCACTGCCGGCCTCGGAATCACAGGATTCGGCGCAGGCTTCTGTCAGATGGCTATGTGTTCGATACCCGAATTGATGCCAAACAAGTACCGACATATTGGAATCACCATTTCAGATGGCTTTGTCTATTTGATTGTCGTGATTGGCCCAATCGTGGGGAGATACGCCATCGACGAAGGCAACCGAGATTGGCAATTCATCTACTGGGCTGGCTTCATTCTTCAATTTGCTACACTTGGCTGTATCTATTGGCTATACCAGCCCCCGAAGCACCCAAGGGGCGTCCCATGGGAAGAAGCCATCCGTGGCCTGGACTATGTAGGATCACTGCTCATTGTGCCAGGGATCTGCCTCACACTAGTTGGCATCATCAATACTACTGTAAGTTATATTCAGTACCCTGAATTTCTACTACCTGAGAATGAAAAGGCGCTAACAACCTCGCAGTACAAGTCAAGCCGGGACGTTACCGTGCTTGCTCCCTTGTGCACAGGTTTTGGGCTACTTGTTCTATTTGGTCTATGGGAAACATTTGGAAACGCCCGCTATCCATTATGTCCTCCGGAGATCTTCAGGTCCCATAATGGGCGAGAATTCACAGCTCCATTTATATTGGCTTTTCTCGTATGGCTTCCTCCTCCCCAGAAGACTTGCTTCAACCAACCGTTGCTAATAACACCTGGTTTAGGTTACCATGTTCTACTATGGCATCAACATCATCTGGCCTACAATGGTAAATGCATTCTACATCAACGAAAACACCTCACGGAGTGAAGAGCTGCTTCTCACACTCCCTAATAACCTCGGTCTTGTCTTTGGAGCTGTTCTGCTTACCTGTTTCGGAAACCTAATCGGACACTGGAAATGGACTCTTTGCATTTCCTGGACTGGCCTGTCGATTTTTGGCGGGTTGCTCGCGCTCGTCACGCCGTATAACAAGGGCACCATGATTGCTTTTGCATTCCTGGAGCAAATGTTCTTCGGATGGGCACAGTATGAAAGTATTGCATTCACCCAGCTGGGGGTGAAGCAAGTTGACCTGGGCATCTCGGGGGGGCTAGGCGGAGTTGCGAGATATGCAGGTGAGCAAATGCCAAATTCATTCTCAACTTTGGGGTTTGAACACGTTGGATTTCTGACTGGGTTTCTCCAAAACAGGAGGATCTCTTGCACAGGCGATATATACGACAATTTTGACCAATACGCAGAATACCAGGGCGATGCAGACGGTCCCGGCAGCGGCAGAGGCTCTGGGCCTGGGACAAGCCGAGGCACAGCAGCTTTTCCAAGCCATCTCGACCGGCGCTTCGAGTACCATCATGGATATTCCCGGAATTGTAAGGACTCACCATTTCTCATTACTGTCGGCTCTGATCTGTTCTTGTGCTAAGCGTATTCTATTACAGACCGATGAAATTGTGGTGGCGGCCAGCACAGCGTATAAGTGGGCTGTAGCCCACGGACTCAAGATCACCTCGCTCGCTTCCTTGGCGTTTGCTGGTCTTGGCCTGATTTGCTGCCTGCTGTGTGAGAACATCGATGCAAAGATGAACGACAAGACGGAGGTCTTTCTAGAGAACGATGTCAACAGGGAGAAGAATGTGTACCATTGACATCGGTCTACGCCATCCTAGACCAGTGGGTGACAGAAGACATTGCACACCAAATGGTACTTTGATCTCCCATTTCGCCAAGCCCTTCACTATAATAGCCCAATAACACAGTAATAAATACATAATATACCCTCATCAAAGATAATAATCCAATATTTGGACATCTAAGAATTATTTCATAGTTTGAATTTACCATTTAATAGGATTTAGCTATTAGACTGAGGATTGAAAACGCCTATGATTTGCGTGTGCAGTGCCTTATGTCACCCGGTTGCTAGATTAGAAGTTCTAACAATAATTCTATGTGAAAAATTATTATCTTATTCTTCCTGGTTATTCGCACTGCATATTGTTAACTGATAGTGCAGATCCTCTGATATGACCCCATCGGGAGTTCGGAGATCCGATGCACTTCCACATGCAAGACCCTGGAGCGCGGGACACGGGTACTTGGCGGGCCTAGATTAGCCGGCCCCCCTACCTACGGTAGGGGGGGTCAGTAAGTAGTAATTTCACTAGTAACTTATAAAAAAAAAAGTAACCTAGTATACCTACTAAATTAGGAGGCCCTGTAGGTACTAATATTTTATTAAATATCCCTCTTTAGCTATAACCTATATAATTATACTATATAATACAGCTTACTTATTATAATACTAAGCTACTATAATATAACTATATATTCTATATATTAATATATATCTTATCTAATAAAGAAGCTTTAGATTTACTTTCTTTAAAGCTAAATATACTAATTCTATCTATTTCCTATAATAGTAAATTCTTCTTTATCTTCTAATTACTTTTCTTTATAATAATTAGTTTAATTATACTAATAATATAGGATTTATTATAGACTATTAGCTATATAAATAACTCTAACTACTATAGTTAAAAAGCTAGCTACTTATATAATTAATAGTTTAAAGTATATATTTAGCTTATTAATTCTATTAAGTTAAGAAATATATATTTATCTTACTTATAAAACTATAGCTATAAGATAAAGTTATCTCCTAAGAAACCTATATTATTAGAACTAAAGACCTTTAATTCCTTTATACTTATCTCTATAATATCCTTTTAAATAAAGCCTCTAATAATATAAAGCTATTACTATAGGAAAACCTCTTTAGTATAAATAACTTTCTATTTAATTTATATAGTTTTATCTTCTTATATAGTATAGTAATTATAGTTATCTATTACTATATAGCTTCTAGTATTACTAGCTGTAATTAGGCTAAATCTTACTATAATATATCTCTTATCTTATAGCTTTTATCTAGTTAATATTTTCTCCTTCTAATAGTAAAGCTTATTAGAAGTTATAATACTATTTAGCTTAAGAGCCTAGCTAATCTTATAAACTTTCTTATAGGTTTATAATACTAAAGATATTAGCTATAAGCCTAAGTTAATTAAGAGTTTAATTTAAAGTTAAATATATTAATAATATCTCTTAATTATAGGGATATTAAGGGTTAGTATTAAGATCTCTTTCTATTCGGAATATAGTATTATTTATAGTATTACTTATAGTATTATAATATAACCTAGCTATTATATACTTAACTATAATTTTTCTAAATCTAAAACTTCTAATAAAGAAAAATCTATATTAAGTATAGAATCTTTATCTTTATCTTTAACTTTATCTCTAATTTTAATATAATCTAGAAGTATAACTATATTTATATTTAGAATTAGAAATAATAGAGGGTTCTAGAGTATATCTAAAATAATAGAAGGGTTAAATAGAAAAAGCCTATATTACTCCTATACTAAGAGAATATTTAACTTTTTAAATATATAATTCTATATTTCTTAAAGATAAAAGAAGAAGTTAGTTTTATTAAAGTTATAAGTACTATCTGTAATCTCTTAATATAATACTTCCTAATATTAGTACTTATACAGGCTAAAAATACTAATATTATAAAGCTAAAGATAATATATTGAATTTAGTAGTAGTAGAAAGAGTATAATATTATTAAGATAAGAATACTTAATAAATTTATCTATAAAATAATATTCTTAGTTATCTATTAATAGGATCTAGATTTCCTTAGGGTTATTAGGTCTTATATATTTATTAAAATACTTAATCTATTCTAAAGTAATTATATTAATTATATATCCCTTTATACTTATATAAATAATAGTATCTGGTTTAAGGTTATTTTAAACCTATTTAATAGGAATTTAAATATTAAAAGTAATTAGTAGGGGAGAAATAACTATTCTAATAGTTAAAATATAGTTAATACTTATAATACTAACTTTATTATATATATCTATTAAGACTAGCTAATTAATTTTAATAAAGATCTAGATAAATATTTCTTTTTTAAGATATTCTATTATAAAGCTAGTTTTATTAAAATTCTATATATTATAATTCTGAATATAATAATACTATAGATAGTTCCTAAAGTAATTAAACTAACTAGTTAATATAGCCTGTTTTTAAATATTCTTTCTCTTTATATTATATAAAAAGGCTTTATAAAGATAAAATATAATTCTATACTTCTTTATAAAGTAATTATACTATTACTTAGAAGCTATTTTTTAACTTCCTAATACCTTAAGGATAGTATTAATATATTAATAAAGCTAGTACCTATAAATATAGAAGCCTGTTAGGATCTAGTAGTAAGTCTATATAACTATAGCCTTTATCTAGGCTTTATTAAGGAGTATATTATACCTTCTATTTAAATTAATATTTAAATAACCTTAAATATAGCTTTAAAGATAATAATATAGTATCCTAAACCTCTTACTTATAGCTATAATTATCTTATAATATTAGATATAGAAGAGTTTAACTATTATAATAGTATACTCTTTAAGGTTCTTAGGGGTAAACTATAAGAAAACTAGCTTATTTATTATAAAATTAATCTATTTATATATAGTAATATTATTATTTAATTCTAAATCTAATAATATTTTTTCTAAATTTTAAATATAATTATTATATTATTAATTATAGAGTTATACTAAATAATATATTATAGATATATTATATAAAATAAAAAAATTATTATATTAGTATTAAATTAATAGAGTAGGCTAAGGATATAAGTAGGATATATATTAAAAAGATAGTATATATACTACCTGCTAAATTTAGCGGATATACTAGGTTACTTTTTTTTTTATAAATTACTGGTGAAATTACTACTTGCTGACCCCCCCTACCGTAGGTAGGGGGGCTGGCTAATCTAGGCCCGCCAAGTAATTCCTTAGTGATTTTCCAAGCTGTTAGACTAGAAAAGGCGTGAATAGCCTATTCGGTGCCCATCGGACGGCCAGGCACCGACATGGATACCGCTATTTAGAACAGCATTCTCGAGCGTGAGGCCAGAGGCAGTGTTCTTCTGCCACGATTCACGGCTAGTTTGTCATCTTGCCAGCTCAAGCCAGTTAGTGAGCAACAACTCTGAGCTGAGGCTTCATGCAGTCCCTTGCGCATGATCTCATGGTGGATCATGGAAATATGTAGAAACTACCAAGTGGACTGCCACCGTCTATTTTGGGGACCGTGCACTGGGTCCTTAGTCGTGCTCGTTCTGGCAATCGTCGCCGTGGCCAGGAACGACCCCGCGACACGTCCAATGCCACTCAGTTCAGCTGAAAGCTCTTTCACACGGTTGATCAATCCAAAAGCGATTCAAGTAGAGTCCAATGCCTTGCTCGTGCTCTCTACCACTGAATCATTGAGCATTTGCCCGTGGGCTGGCCACTGGACATATACGGGAGTCAAGAGAGACCCCTCCGACCCCTCCTCGACCCCACTGATAACCCCTCGCGATTTTTTTTTATCTTTCCACGTACAACCAAGCTGTAGATTCACGGGGGAGTGTTGCGGTGCCGAGTCCCTCGTTCGACACGCCCGACAGATGCCGTCTCGATGTGACAGCAGACCCTTGTCCTGCGGCGTGCAGGACCTCCATCGACTAATACTAATCCCTCAAACAAGGGCCGTTGAGGGATGTGATTGATAAAGCAGGGCTCGAATTCCAAATCTAAAGTGGAGCCGGCTCCCGACCGTAACTCCGGGCTTCGGAGGGCGCCACCTTTCACCTGCATTTGACCTCATTGAGCGGAGCGATGGCGAAGCCTGTCGTCTTCTTAAAGCCCGGGCTCCTCCCACGTCGAACGCGGTCCGAAGTCCTTCTCTCCATTCTTCACCAGCTTCCAACCAGCGCTACTCTCACACCCATCTCCTCGCCTCATCCCACCTAATCAAAATCAAAATGTCTGCTCTCAAGGCCGGTGACAGCTTCCCCGAGGGAGTTGCTTTCGGTAAGTGACCGTGAAATCGACCTGCATATACCGGTTTCTCGACTAGAGGCTAATTGGTATTCATAGCATGGATCCCTCCCAGCAAGGAGACCAGCGAGTTCAGCCAGTGCGGTATCCCTATCAAGTACGACGCCTCCGCCGAGTTCAAGAACAAGAAGGTCGTCATCATCTCTCTTCCGTGAGTGCCTCCAAACCCTTATCCTCGTCCCCTCCCCACCGCGGGGCCCTCCTCCTCCAATTCAAGTCTCATGGACACCAATAATTAACGATTGAACAGCGGTGCCTTCACCCCCACATGCAGTGCCCGCCACGTCCCCGGATTCAAGGAGAACAAGGACAAGCTCGTTGAGAAGGGTGTTGAGCAGGTCATCGTTCTCGCTCACAACGACGCCTACGTCATGTCCGGCTGGGGCAAGGCCAACGGTGTCAACGACGAGTTCATTGTACGTATCTCATTCTGATGCCACTCATAAATTCTTTGGCTTGGGAGGCTGTCGAGCTGTGCTAACAACACATAACAGGTCTTCGCCTCCGACTCCGACCTCAAGTTCGCCAAGAGCCTTGGCTGGACCGTCAACAACGGCGAGCGCAGCGACCGCTGGGCCATCGTTGTCGACCACGGCAAGGTCACCTACGCCGCCAAGGAGGAGGAGCTCCAGTCTCTTGACTTCTCTGGCTTCGAT